ATCAATACAAGTCACACTGAGCACCTCTTGTAATGGCAGAGGCGAAGCATGACTTGAGTATTACACATTTAACACAGTTTTATTCCTTTCTTAATATGTGTATACAGTTTTCGGCACCCTCTGTGTTTGACATTTCTTTTACCTGCCGTGATCATGGATTTAAAGCAGGACTTCTGGTCTATTCGTGGCCATATAATATACTTCGCCTTTGGTCGTTTGTGTCGTAAGGTTAAGAAACACAGGGTTAGACTCATACCAGTTGCCATAGGAACTACGAAGCAGTTGGCCACTGTATGGACACCTACAAATAAGAAGTAAAATAGAAATTAGTTATCCCATTGAAACACCAGGACCTTTCTTAAAGAAATGATCTATTTCTTCTGTTATACAGTAAGAGCTGTAGCCCTAGCACTTCTTTTTCTATACTCAGTCTCAGAAGCTCACTGCCAAATTCATGCTCTGGCTTATAGCTCTGATTTTCTATCTTATTTTATAAGGCATTTATACCTGTGTCTTTTCAAAAGCCATTTATAGTCTTTTGGGAAAGAGGCAGTAATAAAAGAAATTTGGCAAAGGTGTGTATGTCGAGTCAGCCAAAAATATTATGATGAATATGGTACATACCAGCCAACTTTATGATGTCCAGGACCAAAGAATTGGTAATTTTGTTCAAAAGGCTAGAGCCCGCAGCTTTTGGTTGCACAGCAGAAATATCACCTGATCGTCCAATCCCATGAATGAACCTAAACAAAAAATGAGCCAGAAGCTATACAAATAGATTCAGTGTTCTAAGTAATCCAACATACAGACATACAAACGTAATAACCAAAAAACACTAGAAACAGTATTTGTCTGTTGTAGACATATTTCATAAAGTATTAATAATGTGAAAATATCCTGTTTAAATTGAAACAATTTCATCAGTTAAGCTGTAGTAGCTAATCTCCAAAGGCGGCCATGATCAATTCTTTTTATCCCTATGCCCTCACGCCCACATGAAGAGACTGAGTCTAATTCCTCTCCTCTTGAATCTGAGCTGGCCCTAGTGCCCTGGTTGGCCAAGAAGAATCTAGGAGAAATGATTCTCCGGAACTTTCCCATGAGGTCAACAGAAGTCTTAGTTTCTACCAGTCATCTTAAAGGGCTTGATGTTGGGGTGCTCACTCTTACAATCCAGCTGTCATACTGGGAGGAGCCCAAGCCACAGAGAGAGGCCATCTGAACCCTCAGCCATGTGAATGTTATCTAGGATGCACTGCCCACTTGAACCTTCAGATGACTAAATTCTCTGCCAAAGTCTTACTGCAATTGCACAAGAGATCCAAGGCAACACTCAACCTGCTGAGCTCAGTTAACCCACAGAACTATGAGTGCATTGTAACAGTATAATAATAATTTAAGCTACTAAGTTTGGGGGCAGTTTTTTACACAATAGAAAATTAGATTCTCTTTTTTCTTTGCTTTTCCCCAAGTAGAGTAGTGGGTTAAGTTCCAACCTAAGGTGGCGGGTTCGAATCCCCAGCCTGGACCCGCCAAACAACAAAGATGGCTGCAACCAAAAAATAGCCGGGCGTTGTGGCGGGCGCCTGTGGTCCCAGCTACTTGGGAGGCGGAGGCAGGAGACTCGCTTGAGCCCAGGAGTTGGAGGTTGCTGTGAGCTGTAATGCCACGGCATTCTACCCAGGGGGACAGCTTGAGGCTCTGTCTCAAAAAAAAAAAAAAAGTTCCAACGGGAATGAGCTAATGTTTCAAATAGTGCCTTAATTTTAAAAGAACTGTATGCTCCTTTAAAATAAGTGTGCGTACCCACTCACTTTAAATTAGATGATGGTATACACTATTTAAAGATATCTCTGAATACTCTTTAAAATAAAAAATCCTTTTGAAATTTGAGCAATTTATAATTTACAGTCATATAGATCAGATATTCCATACAATGGGATTATCACAGAATACTAGTGTTGTACTTCCTTACCACTGAAATCTCACATGCAAAGCATTTTTTACATATATAATCAACTGTGTTTATCAGCCCATTGTTTGTTTGTTTTAGAGACAGAGTCTCACTTGATCGCTCTCAGTAAAGCACTGTGATGTCATAGCTCACAGCAACCTCCAACTCCTGAGCTTAGGCAATTCACTTGCCTCAGCCTCCCAAGTAGCTGGGACTACAGGCACCCGCCACAACTCCCAGCTATTTTTGTTGTTGTTGCTGCAGTTTGGCTGGGGCTGGGTTGGAACCTGCCACCCTGGGTATATGGGGCTGGCGCCCAACCCACTGAGCCGCCAGCACTGCCCAGCCCATTGTTTGTTAACCATGAAATTTTCATCCAAGTAATATTCACTATCATTAGTTTTAACTATGATGATTTTGATAATTATATCAAGATTTAAAATCACAGAAGACAGTAAGTTTACAGGTACCATGTATTTCACAGAAAGGTTAGGGGACAAAAAAAATAAATGATCATATCTGAAACTACCAATTAAATGGCTACTAGAACTGATGAAAAGCTTGCTGAAGGGTGGCACATGTGGCTCAGTGGATAGGGCACTGGCCTCATATACCGAGAGGGTGGCGGGTTCAAACCCGGCCAGGGCCAAACTGCAACAAAAAAAAATAGCTGAGCGTTGTGATGGGCGCCTGTAGTCACAGCTACTCGGGAGGCTGAGGCAAGAGAATCGCCTAAGCCCAGGAGTTAGAGGTTGCTGTGAGCGTGTGATGCCATGACACTATAGAGGGCAATAAAGTGAGACTCTGTTTCTACAAAAAAAAAAAAAAAAAAATGAAAAGCTCACTGAAATAATGAAACAGAAAAATAATCTAATACCTTTTCTGCTACAGAGAGGTACTTAAAAAATGAGATACAGGTGAGACACAGATGAACAGTGTTTTAAAGTTCTAACTATAAACCATTCTTTAAAAAACCCAGGAATGTTAGAAAAGAAATATGGAAAACTATAAACAACCTTAACATATTTTAAACTCTTACAATCAAATAGGTTTATTCAATTAAACATTCTTAACAGAATATACAGCTTGTGCTGTTAACCACCCAGAATGTAGCAGGGTAACCCCACTCAGTAGAACTTTCATGCAACTGTCTTTGAAAAGCACCTGCTCCCATTCATTGCTTCCACCTCCTTTTTGCATTTGGCTTGCACAGCTTTGAGTAGGGAAGTGGTTTACAGATATTTTATAATTTAATAAAATGAACACTGCTGCCATTATTTTTAATTGGCGGGGGGTATGTTTTCACATGCTATTTTAAAAAATACCTGTAATGACGACGAGCAACTAACGAAGATGCCACTCTCCCTTCCCTTTCTCCCACACCACAGTTGCCCAAGAAATTGTTGCTATCCATGATCGCAAGTTCATGTAAAAAGAGTTCAAGTGTACTTTCATCCCAACCATCCTCTGGACATTTGCCCTTAAAAAAGAAAAAAAAACGTATAATTATACTTATGAAAACCATCCTTCCCTAGAAGCCTATATCAATGAATTATAAAACTTTTTAATGTGTATTTTGCCATGTTCCTTTCTAAAATTCAGACATAAATTCAGTACTAGTAAGAAACCTCAAATAGGTAACACGTTTGTGTTATGCTGGATTACAATTCTTGGATTGCAAGAAGTGCTGATAAATGTATACGACATTTACTCAGATTTTAAAATTTCACTAAGTTAAAGTAACTGAAAACCAAGACACCATATCCTCAAGGAAGATTCTTCAAACCAGGGTGTTATGACAGGGGGTTGTCACACTTTAGAGAAATTAAAGTTCAGGAATGCTGGCAGGGGCAAGACCTGAGAAGTTCCAGGAAAGCATTCTGGTTCGAGTTAGCACGTTGCGGTTTATAAACGTCCGGCGTTCCCTTAGTCTTGGGGAGTGGTGAAAGATGGAAGGTGCGAACTTTGCCCTTTCCACAAAAAAAAAAAAAGGGAAGACATGTTTACTTTTTGTAAACTGGCACTTTCACTCACTTCCGCATCCCGCAGTTGGAAAAAACTGGACTCAAAACCCGACCCCACACACCCGCTAAGAACACCCCTTGGGTTCACTGACTTTGGCGAGGGTGAGAAGGAAAGGAGTGAAGTCAGCTAGTGCGAGCCAAGCTGCGACAGCCTCGGGGGACGAGTGTCAACCAGAGCAGAGCAGCTAGTGAGGCAGGACCCAGCCCCAACGGGAGCGCTGGGCGGAGCCGGAGCCCCGGGGTCGCGGCGGCTGGGGAGGGGACCGACACCTCGGTACCTTCTCCAGAAGCAGCCGTATGAGGTGCTCATGCGAGCGACGGGCCTCACAGCCCTGCCGCACGTAAGCCGGCGACACCAGCCGCTCGCACGCCGCGAAGCTGTCGCTGTTCATGGCAGAAGAGACTGTGGCGACATGCGAGAGAACAATCTCCACTCGCCAGAAACACCACACAACCACAATGCAACTCGCAACCTGGACGGTACGGCAGGGCCTTGGGACAAAAAAAAAAAACCAAGTGTGTCTCCCTCCTGCACATGCGCGCACCTTCGTAACTAGGACGCCAGGAAGTTAGAGTATTTGAGCATGCGCAAAGGAGTCTTTGGGCGCGAGCAGGAGGAGGGACTAAAATTAGCCCCGCCTCACTGGGTCTGATTGGTTTGCTAAACCTTAATATTCCCGAGACAGACGAGAAGGAAAGACTGTGAGCTTGTACAGACCCCCGGGAGGAGAGTAAGGGCTAAATGCGTGGGCTTCTCTGAAAAAAGTTGCTTAAATTGCTCTGTGTTCAAATCCAATCGGATAGTTGAGATCTGCCATCTCATCCTTGCTAAACTGTGTCAGATTACCTTCATTTAATTTCAATTTAATACTGCCTGACGCTCCTTTGTGAAATAGCAGTATCCCGCCCCTTTTGTCTTTTGCAGTACAGAATTTTTAGCCGTGACTCTATCGCCCGCCCCATGATAAGACATTTGCTTATGTATTGACAGACACACCTGTGAATTAAAGGCAGGGCTTGGTTTTTGCTGCGGTAATCCGTTCTCAGGCACCCAAAACAAAGCTCTGAATAGCTTTTCGGACAGGTTCTGCGGGGCGGAGCTGCGGCGTCAAGATGGCAGCGCCCGAGGAGGTAGTTTTCCCGCAGAAACCTAGTCACAAAATGTACCGGGCTGCTCTGAAGAAGGAGAAAAGAAAGAAACGTCGGCAGGAACTCGCTCGATTGAGAGACTCAGGACTCTCACAGGAGGAGGAGGAAGATGCTTTTAGTGAAGAACAACAACTAGAAGAAAAATTGTTGGAGAGAGAGAGGCAAAAATTGCATGAGGAGTGGTTGCTGAGGGAACAGAAGGCACAAGAAGAATTCAGAATAAAAAAGGAAAAGGAAGAGGCAGCTAGGAAACGTCGGGGAGAGCAAGAGAGAAAGTTAAAGGAAGAATGGGAAGAACAGCAGAGAAAAGAGAGAGAAGAGGAGCAGCAAAAACTACAGGAGAAGAGAGAAAGAGAGGAAGCCGTGCAGAAGATGCTGGATGGGGCTGAAAATGAGTTGGAAAATGGTGCTGCTACGTGGCAAAACCCAGAACCACCCGTGGATTTAAGAATAATGGAGAAGGATCGAGCTAATTGTCCATTCTACAGTAAAACGGGAGCTTGCAGATTTGGAGACAGGTGTTCACGTAAACATAATTTTCCAACATCAAGCCCCACCCTTCTTATTAGAAGCATGTTTACAACATTTGGAATGGAACAGTGCAGGAGAGACGACTATGACCCTGATGCAAGCCTGGAGTACAGTGAAGAGGAAACCTACCAGCAGTTCCTAGATTTCTATGATGATGTGCTCCCCGAGTTTAAGAATGTGGGGAAAGTCATTCAGTTCAAGGTCAGCTGCAACTGGGAGCCTCACCTGAGGGGTAACGTGTATGTTCAGTACCAGACCGAAGAAGAATGCCAAACTGCCTTTTCTCTGTTTAATGGACGATGGTATGCAGGACGACAGCTTCAGTGCGAATTCTGCCCAGTGACCCGGTGGAAAATGGCGATTTGTGGTTTATTTGAAATACAACAGTGTCCAAGAGGAAAACACTGCAACTTTCTTCATGTGTTCAGAAATCCCAATAATGAGTTTTGGGAAGCTAACAGAGACATCTACCTGTCTCCAGATAGGACTGGCTCTTCATTTGGTAAGAACTTGGAGAGGAGAGAGAGGACAGGCCACCATGACGAATACTATGGCAGGCTAAGGAGGAGAAGTCCCAGTCCAGACCGTTCCTATAAGAGAAATGGGGAATCTGAGAGGAAAAGGAGGAGTCACAGGGAGAAGAAATCTCACAAACACACATCGAAGAGTTGTGAAAGGCACAGTTCTGGAAATAGAGGAAGAAAAAGGGACCACAGCACGGCCAGGGGCAGCAGGAGGAGCAGGAGCCAGAGCCAGAGCCGCAGGAGCCGCAGGAGCCACAGGAGCCACAGGAACCACAGGAGCCACAGGAGCCGGAGCAGAAGCCAGAGCTCATCTAGATCCAGGAGCCATGGCCCTAGGAGGTCAAGCAGTAGAGACAGAACTACACAGAGCCCCAAATCCAAATAAACTTGTTTTGTTCTTTAAAAAAAAAAAAAATTGCTCAGAATATAGAGCTATTTGTTCAATTTCAGTAATTTTGTGAGCTAGTTTTTAAATATTGCCACTCAAAAATTAATATTAAAAACAGGCCTTGCTTGTGTGGTGGATCACGCCTATAATTTTGGCATTTCAGGAGGCCAAGGCAGGAGGATGACTTGAGACCAGGAGATCAAGACCAGCCTGGGCAACACAGCAAGACCACATCTGTACAAAAAAAATTAAAAAAAAAATTAGCTGGGTGTGGTGGTGCAGGCCTGTAGTCCTAGAGTTTACTGAAGCTATCTCCTTTGTCTAGTTCTTTCAACAATTATTAAAAGATCTGAATATCGGCTCAGCGCCTGTGGCTCAAGCGGCTAAGGCGCCAGCCACATACACCTAAGGTGGCGGGTTCGAATCCCCAGCCCAGGCCCGTCAAACAACAATGATGGCTGCAACCAAAAAATGGCCAGGCGTTGTGGCGGGCGCCTGTGGTCCCAGCTACTTGGGAGGCTGAGGCAGGAGACTCGCTTGAGCCCAGGAGTTGGAGGTTGCTATGAGCTGGATGCCATGGCACTCTACCCAGGGGGATAGCTTGAGGCTCCGTCTCAAAAAAACAAAAAAAAGATCTGAATATCCCTTGTGATTCAGTTCAGATACAATATGTAGATGATCTGATCTACTTTATTTAGAGAATAGGAAAGTGTATAAAAAGGGTTCCATTTACTTGCTCTCAGCCTTAGCAGAAAAGAGACGTAAATTTCTACAAATTACAACTTTTCCCAAACATAATAGTTTATTCAGGACATAGTATATCTATGAGGGAAAAATATTCTCACATTAGACTAAATATTGTCCAAATTTACCCTAGACCTCTCACAAAGGACTTCTAGTTTTAACTGGGAATTGCAGAATAACTGTTTTGAGATTGTAGCATCTCTTTGTGAGTTAGATATCTAAGACTTTAGGAAAAAGTCTTTTCTTCTGGGAACCCAAACATGGACCAGGCCATCTGTAACCCAAAGAAAGTTCTTCAACAAGCTCATTTCACTGGGTATCCCAAACAACAAAAATCCCTCTTGTTGATTTACATACAAGTAATCTGGATAAGCCCTTGAGGTTTTAAATCAACTTCATGGAAATCATCAAAAACCTATGACTTATAAAGCAGACATTTTATAAATATGTAATGATGAATATATTAAGAAAGCAATTATGTGATAAGTAACACTTATCAAAAAATAACTGTTTACTAAAATAAAAAAGAATTTAGTGAGAAGATTGGCATTGTTTATTTTTTTTTAATGTCTTTAGCTCAGTGAGTAGGGTGCTCAGTGGCTCAGTGGGTAGGGTTGCTCAGTGAGTAGGGTGCTGCCCCCATATACTAAGGGTGGTGGGTTCAAACCCGGCCCAGGCCAAATGTAACAAAAAAAATCCAGGTGTTGTGGCAGACACCTGTAGTCCCAGCTACTCAGGAGGCTGAGGCAAGAGAATTGCCTAAGCCCAGGAGTTGGAGGTTGCTGTGAGCTGTGATGCTACAGCACTCTGCTGAGGGCGATAAAGTAACACTCTGTCTCTACAACAACAACAAAGTGTCTTTAATGGTTGACTTCTTAGAAGACAATTGGATTTCCATATTTACTCATGCATTCTATCTATCTGTGATATTATTTTGGTTGAGGATAGGAAGAAAATTCAACCCCACACAGATGTGTAGCAAAAAAAAGGAAGAATATTTTAATGGTTTTTTCGGATACATTTGTATAATCTTTATTATTAAATCAAAACATGACAAACAGCAGTGTCATAAACGTTAGTTGCAATTTTTGGAATCGGAAGCTATATAAATAAACTTTTTTACTCTGGTGCATTAAACTGCACTGATCTCTCTTGCCCTTTGAATGTATCTTTTTTTGTAATGTTGTAAAATAGCCAATGGAGCATTTGGAAAATATTGCTTTGCTGAGTTCTGCAGATACTTCAAACGTTGAACATTTCAGTATGTCTCACAAATAATCACATTCGTTAAAATTTTAAAAAACCTATAGTTTACTATATATCCTTAGTCTTAATGTGGTTGCAAAGATTTATGACCCTTATCTGTGGCAATAGCTGCTGCTAAGAAAAAGCAAAACAAAGAAACCAAGAAAAAACACTTGTCCATACTTCTGCTGAAATAGTTCTAGGCTCACCCCCTTGATTTCACCGTCCCTTTCAGCCAGCTAACTCTTATGATGCTGCTAGCTTCTTCTTCTCACATTGCTATTCACTGTTGCAACCCCTAAATCCTGCCACTCTCCTGCCCCTGCCAGAAAAAGGGGAGCCTCACAATCGTCTTAGCTCAGCAAGGGCACTTTTGTACCTCTTTCTTACTTGCTGGAGACTCCCACTGGGAACCTTGACCTAATACTATTTGTTAATGGGTGACCCCTCAGAACTGAAACTGGAGGTTATCAACCCGGGAACAGGGTATGCTATCTCTAAGTGAAGCTCTGTTTAGAATGTAGTCTTCTACCTGGGTAAAAATCAGCACAAATGGCGAATGCATTGCACATCCTAGACCTTGTCAGTTAGGCGAAGACCACAGAGGGAACAGACAGACAGAAAGCAAGTCTGCTTTTGGAGTTGCACATGACTTTGAGAGAAATGCTTTGAGAAAAAAAAAGGGGGGGGGTTCTTATCACTCCAGAAACTCCCACCAATGATAGACAACAAGTATAGGAACCTGATGCATTTTTATTTCTTAGAGTGGAGGCCATTACAAAGAAAAGGCTCATGCAATAAAAGAGAATGTGGCGGCTCGGCGCCTGTGGCTCAAGCAGCTAAGGCACCAGCCACATACACTTAAGGTGGCGGGTTCGAATCCCCAGCCCGGGCCCGCCAAACAACAATGATGGCTGCAATCAAAAAATGGCCAGGCGTTGTGGCGGGCGCCTGTAGTCCCAGCTACTTGGGAGGCTGAGGCAGGAGACTCACTTAAGCCCAAGAGTTGGAGGGTGCTGTGAGCTGTGACGCCATGGCCCCCTCCCCAGGGGGAAAAAGTGAGACTCTTTCTCAAAAAAAAAAAAAAAAAAAGAGAGAATGTGGCAGTGACAGATGAAGCTCTGACTGATCATTGTGACAGACAGGCATCCTTGACCAATAGAGGATCCTATCTACACTCTCAAAGGATAAATCCCTGGAGGTACCCTAAGGGGTCATTATAAAATATCAACATTTAGCTCTTAACTTCAAGAAGAATAGAAAAAAAAAATCTGACTATACCCTTTACTCAGATAATCTCTGGAGCTCTCAAGATAATGGCTTGGTGGCATCAAATGTCTTCAAATGAAAGTCAGCGAAAGTTCTCCATAAAGCCACTCCTCAGGCTACAGACAAAGGGGTGACTTTTAAAAATCAATATTAGTTGGAAGACTTTGAAAAGATAGCTGAGGCAGGGTGGCACCTGTGGCTCAGTGAGTAGGGCACCAGCCCCATATACTGAGGGTGGCAGGTTCGAACCCAGCCCCAGCCAAACTGCAACAAAAAATAGTCCAGGCATTGTGGCCAGTGCCTGTAGTCCCAACTACTTAGGAGGCTGAGGCAAGAGAATCGCCTAAGCCCAAGAGCTGGAGGTTGCTGTGAGCTGTGATGCCATAGCACTCTACCAAGGGCGACAAAGTAAAACTCTGTCTCAAAAAAAAAGATAGCTGAGGTTACTTGGGGCTCATGTGTCACCTGTCATAAATATAACCCTGAAAAATCTGTAAAGAGGGGAAATGGCCAGGAACCAAAGTGTCCACAGCCTTTTGAGCACCTTAAATGGATTTTTTTTTAAGCACGTGTTTATTGTACATGTGCTTTCAGGGAAGGTTGTAGTTTCCCTTTGCCAAAACACTTAAGCCCCTCCATTCTCCAAAAGACTGCTTGATTTTTAATTTCCAACCTGTGTCATAACAACTTTTACACCAAATGACCAATGCACACACTCTCTGGGAACCATTACACAAGAACCCTGTAAGGCATTACCCCTTACTCAAAACTATGCTGTCCTTACCATCCATGATCTTCTGGAAGGGTTGAAAGAACCAATGGCGTCCTTAAATTTAAATCAGCAAAACTTTCCGAAATCCTTGAACTCCCTTGACCAAAGATACTCCCACTTGGACTAGCCGTTGGGGTCACATGCTCTATTATTCCCTTGGGGACACATCGGTTATCCCCCTATGAAATGGTAACTAGAAGCCCTATCAACATAGATTTTTTTTTGCCTCAGATTCTGTCCTACTCCACACAGAGATGAGAAAATATTTCAAGTGACCCATGTACAACACCTGGTTTTATCACCAAGATCCTTATGCTATTATCCCATGACATTTTCCTGAACAGCTTCTTTATGATCTTTGCAAGGAAACATCATCTACGTATCAGGTGCAATAGCAGAGAGAAATTGTTCTTGAACCTCATCGAAAGGAACTTTATCTGGCACTGTTAATAACAAATATTAATACAACAGCAAAACTCGAGGGAGGTGATCCTTGTGGTTCTCGTTTCACAACTAAAAAAGTAATTCAAAGTTCTGTACAATAGAAAGGCTGACACAAAAAGGTTCTTCAAACTGAGGGTTTTCAAAGATTCTCTAGGAGCAAGCACTCTTGGAAAATTGACAGGTGACCCTCGGAACTCAAGGCCTTCAGAACAAGCTGGTGATGTGAAATAGTGGGCACCTTTCTCCCAAAACGTTGGACAAGATCTCTAATTCCTGTTTTGTTTTTTCATCTGCTTACTTGTAATCATTCCTCTTCTCCTTTTTGACAGAACCCTGTATGTGTCCTCCTGTGATGGCCTCTTTTCCTTCTATTATCTCCTTGGTACAATTGTTAAGTCAGAATATACTTACCTTAATGCCGTTGTTAGGTTTTCCCAAACAGTAACAACTTCCTTCAATCTGACTGCTGGATGTACCATTCATCACCAGACCCCCATGATAAAAATCTCTGAGCAATTCCAATCTCATTACACAAGACCATGGAGAATTACAGACACTGATGTTTCCATGTGCAATTACACAGATGAATGGTCTTAAACCAATCAACCTGTGTCCCTATTTCCCTGAAAAACAACCACTACTATCATCTATTAATCAGACCCTGGGTATTTCTAAATTTGAATTCAATAACCTTACTAGGGTGATGGGCAAAATACTTATCATCTGAAATAGGCTGAGCTCCAAGTATGTATCTTGACTAACGTAAGGCCCTGGTTCCAACCCTGTGTCACGAGCAAGTCTTGTTTCCTCCATCTTCATGTGCCCTGTCAGATACTAATACTACTGCTGGGGCCAGGATTCCTGGTTCCGTTTGTCTCAGGCCAACATTTCACGCACTATAGGAATGGTATTCCAAGACTTGCCTGTATACAGAGATTTTCATTGTATAGGTCACCAAGACCAGAAATCCTGATTCATACATGAACTTCAAAATTTGATTGTTCAGGCACTCGACCCGGGGAAATTAATGATTCACTGTTTATGCAGTGTTCCTAACGGTGAGAATCATGTAAATATAGAAAAGACTGTAAGGAACTCATCACCAACACGAGAGTTACCAATGACACTGCTTCTGCACTCAAGGAAATACAGATAAGCCACAGTTCATTGGCAGGAGTGGTCATGGACAGTCGCATTGCTCTAGATTTCTTGTTGACCAGTCACAGAGGAATCTGTGTCCTTGCTAAAACATCTTACTGGTAACTAGAAGCCCTATGCTGGGACTATAGGCATGAGCCATCATGCTCACTCAATCCTATTTAAATCTATCTTTCTACACAGCCCTGCCCCTCCACCCCACACACATATATAATTCTTAGTCTCAATGCTGTGCCTAGAACACTCCAAACAGGGTGATCTCCCATCCACCATCTGCACTACAGAGTTACTCACAACTTTATCACTAGCAATCTCTGGCCTCATGGAAGACAAAGACTGTGGCATTAACGGTGTACTTGGACCAGTGAAAAAGTGAAGACAAAAAAGGCTGTACATCATCTTAAGAAAAAAAAACCGACATGGCTTTAAATTGATCGCCATGGCCTTCAAGATTGATTTTCGTGGACCCAATTGGGCAATTAGGTTCGCAGCTTGGAAGACTCTTAAAAGCACTATTACGTGTTCTTGTGTTTGTCATAACTGTCATGATGCTGGTCTTTTCTATTCTATCTGGAGTCTTAAGTTCTTCTCGCACAGATATCACCATGAGGATAACCCAACAACCAAGTCAGAATCAAACTGACTATGGAGGTAACTGAATAATCCCCTAGAGGTGACGGCCTGGAGCTCTAGCCTTCCCTCAGTCGGTCACCCTCTTGCAAGTAAGAGGGTGATGGAAGAGGGTACTGAGGGGCTACGTATATAAATGGGCCATAGCCAGGCCGCAGGACAATAGAACTCTGACCTATTTCCTCTGCAGCAACCATCCCCAGATGCCAAACTACAGTCCTGCAGCAAATTCACCCCAAAACAGGACTTAGCCAATTACCACCAGCTTCCCTTTATTTTGCTTCCTCTTCCAACTCAAGACCAACTAAAGAAAGCCAAAAATATCCCCAAAACCAGTCACTAGAGCACCCTGTTTCTAGCTAACCTGCCTCCAGATTCCCCATGCCAGCAGCGTCCAACTGGGGCATGCCTGACACCTTCCACTTCTTCCATTATACAGGTTTCCTGTTCCCCTCCCTGCCCCTGAGTCTCTGCCAAATATAAGGGGTAGTGGTCGACTCCCTTATGATGGCAAGTTCTGAATAAACAGCCTCTGTTTGTTCTCATTAGGGTGGTCTTCATGTATTTATGACATAAAGGGAACAAAAGCTGGCTGGGCATGGTGGTTCAGGCCTATATCCTAGCACCCTGGGAGGCAGAGGTGGGTGGATCATCCCCTGAGCTCAGGAGTTGCAGACCAGCCTGAGCAAGAGCTAGACTCCGTCTCCACTAAAAATAGAAAAACTGAGGCAAGAGGATCTCTTGAGCCCAAGAGTTTGAGGTTGCTGTGACCTATAATGATGCCATGGCACTCTACCCGGGGCAACAGAGTGAGATTCTGTCTTTAAAAGAAAAACGACACAGAGGAGACAGGCCCTTTCCTTTCCATCTGGCGGCAGCCATCAGGTGAGCCACGATGGGTGCATACAAGTACATCCAGGAGCTGTGGAGGAAGAAGCGGTCTGATGTGATGCGCTTTCTTCTGAGGGTCCGCTGCTGGCAGTACCGCCAGCTCTCTGCGCTCCGCAAGGCTCCCTGCCCCACCTGGCCGGATAAAGCGCGCAGACTGGGATACAAGGCTAAACAAGGTTATGTTATATACAGGACTCGCGTGCGCCGTGGTGGCCGCAAACACCCAGTTCCTAAGGGTGCAACCTACGGCAAGCCTGTGCATCATGGTGTTAACCAGCTCAAGTTTGCTGGAAGCCTTCAGTCTGTTGCTGAGGAGCAAGCTGGACACCACCGTGGGGCTCTAAGAGTCCTGAATTCTTACTGGGTTGGTGAAGATTCAACATACAAAATTTTTGAGGTTATCCTCATTGATCCAGTCCATAAAGCTATCAGAAGAAAGCCTGACACCCAGTGGGTCACCAAACCAGTCCACAAGCACAGGGAGATGCGTGGGCTGACATCTGCAGGCTGGAAGAGCCGTGGCCTTGGAAAGGGCTGTAAGTTCCACCGCACTATTGGTGGTTCCCGCCGTGCAGCTTGGAGAAGACGCAGTACACTCCAGCTCCACTGTTACAGCTAATATAAGTGATGTTTGTAAAATTCATAACCTAATAAACAATTTAGGACAGTCCAAAAAAAAAAAAACACAACATACATATATATAATACACACATATATAATTCTTAGTCTCAATGCTATGCCTAGAACATTCCAAACAGGGTGAATTCTGTATGCTGGGACACATCTTTTACAAATGCAGCAAATATGCTCCCAAGAAATGGACTAAAGACAGGTGTGTGCTGTGATCTGAATGTTGGTGTTCCCCTAAATGCATATGTTCCCCCCAATGCAATAGCATTAAGAGGTGGCATCTTTAGGAGGTAAGTTATGAGGGCTTTGCTTATGACTTAATTATAAAGGAGAAGAGACTTAAGGGACCTTAATCATGAATTGGAAAAGAGACTGAAGGAAGCTTTCTTGTCCCTTTCCTATGTGCTGATAGCACAAGAAGGTGCCATCTCTGATAAACGGCCCTCACCAGACATGAAATATGCTGGTACCTCGATCTTGGACTTCCCAACCTCCCAGACTGAGAATAATCAGTTTCTGTTTTTTTATGAATTGCCCACTTTAAGGTATTTTGTTAGAGTATCCTGAATGGACTGAGAGAGGCTGTAGGTTTAAAAGTTAGGGTTCAATATTATAGCTTGCTTTCACATCTGGTGAAAATCAGAAGGGTTTCAAGGGGCCTAAACCCAGGTTTTCCTCCCTCTCTGCTCCAGCGAACAAGGTCCCCTAGCCAACAGGACCAGACACAGTTCTTGCTTATCCCTGAGTAGCAGGAATCAGTTCCCTGTCAGCCTGCAGAATTACTTAAACAAGCCAATTGCTTCTTGGCATGAGGGCCAGCAGCTCCCCACCCCTTGACACTGCAAAGCCTGCCTCTTACAGACCCTAGTTGTTCACTCCATTCCTGATGGGAACCACCACGGGGCCCTGGATGTCCTGCACTGTCATCCTTCTTCAGGCTGTATATGTGATTACTAAACGTCTATCCATCTCACCTGTCCAATGCCAAGTGTTGGGCCTCTGCCACCCCCATAAGCCTAAGCAGGAATCTGTCCCACACCAATAAAGTAAATAGGAGGAGATTCAAACAAAAGGTGAAAGGGGAAACCTTACAGTGGAGAAATGTGTACAACACTTCCTTAAGTAAGAGATCAAGTGATCAAGAAGTGATAAGTCACGTGGACGTCACATACTGCCCCCCAACACATTGCTATGAGAAGGCTCCTTCACATCTGTAGTATTTTGTTTCCAATGAATAAGTGAAGATAAAAAACTATACCATCTTAAGAAAAATAACCCAGTCTAACTATCAAAAAACACGAGGCCAGTGTGGTGGTTCATGCCTATAATCCTAGCACTCTGGGAGGCTGAGGCAGAAGGATCTCTTGAGCTCAGGAGTCAAGACCAGCCTGAGCAAGAGCAAGACCCCTGTCTATACTAAAAATAGAGAAATTAGTCAGGCATTGTGGCAGGTGCCTATAGTCTCAGCTACTTGGGAGGCTGCAGCAGGAGGATCACTTGAGTCCAAAAGTTTGACATCACTGTGAGCTAGACCAGTGCCATGGCACTCTAGGTTGGGTAACAGAATGAGATTATGTCTCAAAATAAACAAACAAACAAAAAATGAGACTGTAACAGCTGAATTATGTCCCCCTAAATACCTATGTTGAAGTCCTAACCCTCAGTACCTCCGAATGTGACCGTACTTAGAGCTAGTGCCTTTAAAGAGAAAATTAAGGTAAAATGAAACCTTAAGGGTGAGTTCCTAATGTGACGTGACAAGAGCCCTTACGAGAAGAGGAGGTTAGGACACAGCACACACACAGGGAAGACCATGGAGACAGGAAGAGAAGATGGCCATCCGTATCTGGATACTGTGCTCTTAACTCCTCCCCAACATGGACAGATACAAGAGGCATTTCATAGTCCAGGCTTTAGGTAGGTAAATATGCAACCTCAGAATTCTATCCATTGGCTTGTAGATGGAATAATAAGAATATAGCCAGAGGGTGAGAAAAGATAGGTTGCCAAGAGGTATATTATTAAGTCATAAAGCCCATGGACACCCATGAGCAGAAAAGCATCCCCGCCATAATGATGCCAGGACTCGTTGATGCTGAATTCTGACAATATCTGAGAAAACAAAGCATCATGCCTCCTCTGCCTCACTACCACTCACACCACATCTGTCAGCAAATCGTGTCACGCCTCCCCCCACCTGCTCCTCTCCACCTATGTCACCTAGTCCAGGCATCTATCAGCTCCCTTCAGGCAAGGATAGCCTCTCTGCCTCCACTTCGCTCACCATCCCCTCATCCCAGTCTAGTCCCCACTCAGCCATGAGAATTCTCTAAGAATATACATCACACCCCTTCCCTGCTTGGAACCTGTGAATGGTTTCCCATCACACCTAATTCTTTACTTTGACCTACACCAAAGGCCCTGCCTTTTCTGGCCTCACCAAAGTCAAGTATCATCCTTTCTCTGCCCAGGGGACTCGCACACTGCTGGCCTCCAGGTAGACCCTGAAACACACCAAAATTTTCTTTCCCAGCCTCAGGGGGCCTGCTTCCCTAAATGTTCTTCCCCTCCTCATTTTGTGTGGCTGCCTTGTATTTTCTATCAGTGTAAATATCACCTCCCCTGAGAAGCCTTTCCTGACTACTTCATCTAAGCAGGAATCTAGTTTGGAGGAAATGCCATAGATGTTCACTCTGAATTCTTTTTTGAGTTGATGGCTTGTGTAACGTCTGGATTGGAAGCTTCTGGAAGACGGGAAGTCTAACTATTTATTCACCTACTCTACTGAGCACTTAGCATCATGCCTGGCACACAGCAAGAGATTCACAGACATTTCTGAATAAATAAATGAAAAAAACAGATCTAAAGACTTGCTTATCATTTGCACGTTGCTGAATGAACCCAGATGTGGAGAAAGGAGAGAGAAGAGGGACCAGGGGTGAATTGGTGACTTCATACCATGAAAGTATTTTACACTCAGGAGGAGAGGTTGTCCAATGGCAGATGCTACTGAACAAATAATGACCACACTGCTTTCCCATTCCGTCCACGTGAGCTTTCTAACATTTAGGGTAGGGAAAGTGGCAAGGCTCTAAAGAGGCATGGCAGAATCTGGCTGTCCTCAACCTCATTAATGAGGCCTCTTAAGCAATTCAAAGCAAAAAACCTCCCCAACCAAAGCCAAGCTTCAAAGAGCAGTTGGAAGTGGAGAATAGAAGGAAGTGGGGAGTCAGGAACTAGGTTGCTGTGAGAAGTTTCCTGTGATTAGAAAAAGAAAAAAAGTGTAGTAATTACATTATGCTGAGACTCAGAGAATTCAGAAAGCACGGTCTTGCCTTCATCTTCTCTGTTTCTGATGGAAAGAGATGAAATAAAAGTAGTTTTGGATGTAGGAAAAGGTCATTAAAGACTTTCTCTGGGATGAGTAAAGCAATTCTCTCCCTAGAGGGAGGAGAGGGAGGTAGAAAAGCTTCCTCCCAGCACTAAAACCAACCGCTGAAACAGTTACAACTCCCCATAAAAGCAGGAACAAGAGAAAAGCTGCAGGAGACTTGTCAGGAGGCTGCGAACAGGCTGGCGCCTGGGGTTTGCTGACACTGAAACAGTGAGGGAGCGTTTGACTTAGAGGCCTTTGACTTAGAGTGCTGGAGGGGAGGAGGGTGGCATTGAATTCTGGTGGTGCATTCAAGCCTGGCTCCACCCCTTCCTCTAGCCTAAATCTGTGCAAATTACACAATCCCTCTGAGCTTCAGAATAGTGAGGGAAGGCAATGACCACATGGCAGAAGAGGGAGACTTTACAAATGTACAGGCTTATGGCCAGAGGTGTCACAGCTGGCAGTAGCCTTGGGAGTGAGCAAGCAGCTTGATCCTGGAGGTGTGGAGAGTGTGGACTGGCTTCTGCTCCTCAAACTCCTTCATTATAACCATGCTTACTAGGGGCTAGAAAGCATCAAACTATATTCTCTAGAAAGGTATTTTTCTTTTTCTTTTCTTTTTTTTCTTTCTTTCTTTTTTTTTTTTTGAGGCAGAATCTCACTTTGTCACCCTTGGTAGAGTACTGAGGTGTCATAGCTCACAAAACCCTCAAACTCTTGGGCTCAAGTGATCCTATTGCCTCAGCCTCCCAAGGTGCTGGGACTACAGGTGCCCACCACAATGCCCAGCTAGGTTTTT